CCGATCTCCCCAAAACCCCAAAACCCCAAAACCCCAAAACCCCGTGAATCAGAATTACTCAAATCACTGCTAATAAAATAAAATTTTATCTTATTTTAATGAGAGTTATTATAATATCCTGATTCAAATACATTCTGACAAAAGCATTGCTTCGAGACCATCTAAAGTAGGATTTTCTCTCATTATATAGATAGGTATCTTTTCTAAAACTAATTCTTTCATTGGACTATCTGTCAAGAAATACTTCCAAAAAAGTCCTTATGGTTATTCTTCTTCCTCTTCATCACTATATACTTCTTTTGAAGCAACTTTTCTATCTTTAATATAGTCGCATAGATAATTTGCAACTCCTCCGCTGATATATATACCACCCATCGGTAGTACTACTAAAGCAAATTTAGCTAAGCAAGTTGCAAATATTTCAATCAGAAAATCGATTGCCATCATACACAACTTATCTGTTTTATTGACAGCACAGTAAGTAATGCACTCCTAGAGACTCACAGATTTCTTCCTTTCTTGTTGAAATTTGTCCTGGATTTCAAGTTCTAAATTTGTAATCAATTCAGGATGTTGGGATTTCAAAAACTAATGTAGCAAAAATACACCAAAGCCACAGCAGAAATGGTTAAGACATCCATGAGTGTTCATTTTCTCACACAAAGCCTTTTATCTAGGATTCTATTAATCTACACATCAAAGACAAGCCCAACCCTCTGATGGAATGACATAACTCCTAGATGATTCTCCATTTGGATAAGGTAAGATAATTGCAGTTCCTATTCCTGTTCCCATACTAAATAAGAATTTCACCTTTGAATTTTAGTTGATAACATTTTATGTATTTTTATGTCTCAATTAGACGAAAAGATCAGCTCTCTTTGATAGCAATTGGTCTTAGAATAAAATACTAAACGCCATACCCTCCGCATCATTAACAAATCTCACATCTGTTTCTTTGTAATAGGCTTAAATCTATTAGACTGTCTATAATATATCAGTTCCTATGGCATAAAATGTTCCATTTTGATAACCCGCATGAGCAATATATATCGACTTTAATTGATTCTTATTAATCTATAGGTAAGAGAATATAATTAAAAATCTGAACATACATTGAAAGTCTCTAGAAGCTGATCTATATGATGACTGTAGTTTTTATAATCCTTCTTCTTTAATTAAATACTCTTGACACATTCATAGCTTACAACTTTGCCTTACATTCTGATTTCCTTTGATAATCTTAATCTGAAATTTGTTCCACCAGTGTCGCCAACAATGATATATCTATCAAGCTATTCATTTAGTACTTCATTTTTCTCCATTATCTAATTTATTTTTATTTATAATAATTCCTGAAAATTATTGAATTAATTAATAGCGGGGTTTTGGGGTTTTGGGGTTTTGGGGTTTTGGGG